TTTATTTTATTCAATTACTCTATCTGCACAGCAGTTATAACTAACTTAAAAAATTGCTCGTTCTTCTTCCATTTAGTAACATCATCAATAACAAAAAAATTTGGTAAATAATTTGCTTTTAAACTGTTCTACTTGATAACCGACTGCTACTAAATCCTCATATGTAGAGAATCAGTACTGGAGTAATACCTGTCTTCTAAGATTGTTAAAAAAAGTTTTAAAGCATTCTGCACAAAGTTATATACCGCAGCAAAAACAATTTAAAGTTAAATTGTCAGTTTTGTTTCCTTAGTTCTGTAACTGTCTATTAATAGCGAAAGCACAAAAATCAGGTGTTTTTCCTCCTCTCGCTTATTCTCAATGCGTATAAAAAAGAAAACACTTTTAAGCAGTTTCAAGTTTTTTTACTTCTACGTCTTCTACCGAGTAATCACTTTTGCTGCGTTATTTCTCCTACCCTCCTGATTGTTTAATATTTTATACAAATATAAAAATATATATATTTATGTATTTATATAAGGCCTGTGCTGTAAAGTAAAGCCTCAGACGCTCAACAGTCTAGTCTCTTCGCTGCGCAAAACAAAATTTGGTTTCAAATGCTGCTATAGTTGCCCCTGCCCCAAAACGATTGTTTTGCTCGAATCTTTCAGCTATTTTTTCAGCAGAAAATTTTTGGCTCTACTCTATCCAGTTGTCGGGTTTTGAGAGGATCTGTATACTTTTTACTCAACTTTTACTGTGAAAAGCTAGTGGTATCCGAATAGAACTCTTTATTGTGCTACATCAATATCTGAAACGATTTTCTGTGAAAATGGAGAAGTTTTAGTGACATAAACTGACAGTAAGACTTCAAAAAGCAATAGTAATAAATGTTTGTAGGATGAATAAAAATGTGTTGAATACAGAGAAGGAGAGGGATAAACAAGTGCTTAATTGTCCAATTGCTTTGAATTTGCTGAGTATCTCTTATAAAAAGCTATGAGGAACAGCATTAGAATTTCACCGAACATTCTCACACAAAGAATTGTACATGCGAATGTTGTTGAAAACTTAATTTGACAGTTTACTCTCGAACTGTAAACTAAAATAATTCATGTAATTCAAGAAAACATTAGTGTTAAAGAAATAAGATTAGGTAGATTCTCGTCACGAAGAATTCATTAACTCTTTCTTAACTGTTTTCTGTGAGGCTACTAGAAAAAAGAAAGTGCTTCTTCTGTAGAAGATGCTAAGATGGCAAGAAGAGAAGAAAATTTTTAAATCTTTGTAAACTAGCAGATCAAAGCAGGGTAAATGACTGGGACCATAAGTTGGAAATGGACAATGAAGAATGTATCAAAATTGCAGTAAAATACAAACGTGCAAAGGATAGAACATTTAAGCGAGTAAGTTGACGTTTTGAGTGGTTCTTTAAGCAAAGAACCGATGAATAATGCCAATTCAGCTTTGTTCTTTCGCTCACTGCTTTTTAAACCGAAAGTTGCTGTACAAATATGTGCACTTAAATTACAGAAAAAACCAGAAATCTTCTAAAAAAAAGGTTCCGAAGTGGAGATTCATTTTCTTTCTGCAAACCACCTTCTGTAGAGACTAATACATAGTAAAAAGAGGATTTCTAATGTTTTCAACCAAGCGTCGAACTTCTTATCAGGAAACTTAAAATCTTGGTTAGACTTTCAAAACAAAAATTCTAGAAAAGCAGCTGATTAGAAAGTAAAAACAGAAGTTAACCAATCAACAATAAATAAAATTTGTAGGCAGCAAGAAAGTTTTTCTGCGAGAATAACTTGTTAAAAAATGTGGATTTAAAATAGAGAAAATGTGAAAAAAAAGAGATAAGCAACAAATAAAACAAGGCCTTCCCGATATATTACTGCTGACATCGTATTTGTCGCGCAAAAGCAAACCTCAAAATTATACAAAGTTGTCTTTTTTTAAAAAAATTTTTACAAGTTTAGTGCTTTATAACGCTTAAAATTCTTTTGCCCTTCCTACTAATGTTGTTGTAACATGTTTTTTCTCCAAAAAAAAAAAGACAAAAAAAGATCTGTTAGCCAACAATAGTTGGCGCTGATTCGATATATCTTCGGTATGGCGTGGATCTCTATGGTATCGTTTCTCAGCTTCAATAGGTTTTTGCTAATAGACGCTCTTCAGATGAAAAAATTTTTAAGCTATTGCATGTTTGACGTAAGCTTCTATCAACAAATATTGCTGTTCAGTCCTATTCTTAAGAACAACAAGTTAAGTAAAACAAAAAAATTTTTTCAGTTTTTTAATATCTTTACAAGACTGTTCTATGATGTTTTATTGTCAATAACGCTGGTTGGAAACGATAAATTTGGCCTCACATGTGAAGAATACACTAAAGTTATTGTAGAAAGAAAAGTAATAACAAGAAATCTTTGACTGTACATTTGACGTGGTAAACAACGTACATAATGTCCGAGACTTCTGAACATGATTAAAGTTTCATTTTAAAATTAGATTTCAAAAGAATAAAAATGTCCTTCATGAAAGTTTCAAAAAGTAAACCAGTCGCAAGCAAGAAAAAATGAATTTTTAGAGACATGACAGTGTTAAACCTTGTGTAGTTTAAATGTTTTTAAAAATTATTACCGAATTCTAAATGAGCGATTTCGCTTTACTAAACTTATCATTCAGACATTGCTTCTTTAGAATATTATTTATCTTAACAAATGCAAAATAAATAGGAAGTATCCAGAGACCTAAAGAACTATGAAAATTTTAAGACTAAGGCATCACCAGAAGAGGCCGTATTTAGGTGTAATTTAAAACTTTTTTTTAGATGCCAAAAAGTTGCCGTTATTTTGATGAAAGTTATTTGGAGACTTAAACGTAACTGTTGTTCACCAAATCACCATAAAAAGTAGCCAAAACAACAACAAAAAAAACCTTGCACTGACCTGACATACCTATTGTAAATAAAAATATTCACAATATTAGAAGACTAATGAATCGTAAATGTTTTACTCAATTTAACAACAACGTGCAGCCAGTGAGTACGTTAAAATCAGTTTTTGGATACTTTCATATTATGATTCCACAAATGCACAAAGGCCAAGTGAAAGGAGGATGAAATATAACCAAAAGAATATTTTTATTTTTTATTTTTTGCATACTATTAAAAATTTTGTACATTTTTTTTTTCGCTAATACTCTGAACTATCAAGAAGTATTTTTATTAACTTACTCTTATTGAAAGCAGAATGCTTTTACTTCTAAGCCCTGTGAGTCACAAAAAAAAACTTTTGACGATTGTAACTTTTAAATAAACTAAAGACTTTTCAAGCAAATTTTTGTTCTACATTTGAGCGGCGTCATATGAATTCGACTAAGTGACACTCAAACGATCACCTCGCGGTCCTCACATGTCGTCTAATTCCCCAATTTGTTAATTTTTGAATTTTTTGTATTTCTTAGGGATAGCACTCTACTGACATTACGCTTCCTTTTCTTTAAGTGATTAACCTTAATTTACTTTGACGGTCATTTAAGAGCTTCCAATTTTTTTCGCCAAGTAAGAGTGTATTGTACTAGTTTACGAAGGGCACTTAAAGATGAGACAATTTAATGCAGATCTGCTTAGAAAATACAGCTGAACTTTGGTTGCTTAAGAGTTACCTACGGCGCTCTGAATTCCCACTGATACTCTGCTTTTGCCTGTACAATGAGTAAAATGTCTAACATTATCTTGCAGACTGACTTCTTTGCCTCAGTACCATAAAAGTTAGAAACTGATCTGCGATAATGAGACATATATCATCTGCATAAAAATTTTTAACATTGGTGCAGTTCGTTTTTTCACTTTTTTAAATCAATTCACAGTTTCAGCGTGTTAATATATCAAAAATTAAAAATAGTCTCTTCCGAACAAACTTTAGTACGCTGGTTCAGTGCAATCAATGCAACGATTGATGATAAATTTATGAATATTGATAAATAAAAAATTTTTAAAATATTTTGAGGTACTTATAAATGACATTACACCAAATAGTGGTAATGTCGATATACTATTTGACCGATTGTAATGAAGATGAATTCACGCTTCCAATATTGCAGTGCTTGAAAAAGAATATAATTCAAAAGAAAACTAACTGTATTTTTCGAAATATCCCTGAAAAATAATTAAACGTTACTTACTTAGACAATAAAACTGTTGAGTAATTAAAAAGGATTAAGATTTTAACGATGTTGCTACTGTAAAACAAATTTCTGAAAATTAAATTGAAATATCGAGCAAGCGAAATACTCGCAACTCAGTTAAGCAAGAAAAATGCAAGTCCTATAAAATATTTTACTTTGATTTAGCAGTGAAAACAACTAAATCAGTGCCTAAATAAATAATTTGCTAAAAAACTTTGCTGGTTCTTCTACAATTAAGTTAATGAAAGCCGAGTCTTTTTGGATTTATGTGTTATGCCTTCCATTCTGATGTAACAACGCAACTTATTCCAAATAAGACAAGATCTGATATCAAAACGCATACTTTTCTTATGGAAACTTTGAAACTTTTTTAGGTTTGCCGATTAACAGAGTTTGGCTTTGAACACAAAGGAGTTCTGATTTGATAACAGAAAGAGTGTAAAATATTAAAAGTGTTTTTAATGTTCTTGTGTAAAAAATCTTGATAAAGAATTGTTAAAAGTGACATTTAACAAATATGTGGTTACTTCACTTATTTTTTGGTAATGTAGATAATGTGATGAAGAAAACGTTCGAAATGAAAATCTCCCTTACACCTTCGCCTTCCGCTGGTCTATAACATGTAATTTCTCCCCTTGTGTCACAGTTTACTTCTTTTACTTGGTCTAAAATAGTATTAAGCGGGTGCAGCTAGACTGATAAAAAAAAATAGATCTTTACAAAAACGAGATTTTATTCATAATGCTGTAGAGTTTCAGAAAAATGAATGAAAACAAGAAGATCAAAAGAAGCAATTAATTCAGAAACCAGAAATAATTCAAACTTTGAAATCTTTACTTAATGTACATACTCGGATTATTAAGACAAAGAGAGAAACATTTTTGGCCAATTTCAGAGGATGAGTGAGAACCACTCTTATCTCGCATAAAATCCGTCTTTCGTTTATCCGGAAACACACTAACATTCTCAAGAGTCGGCATGTTTATGCAACGTCTTTTGTCATTATAAATATATGACATAACTTCTGAAAAAACCTGTTTGAAATAATCAGTTTCTAACTCACTGAGTAGATCTGTAACAAAGCAGTCGACAGGTCAATTTTTATTATTCTATGGCCTCTTAATCAGACAGGCTTACTGCCGCTGACAAAGATAAAAAACTTACGTCGAGTTTAATATACTAAGAGACGATGAAGAAGCAGTAATAGTACAGTAATAAACACAGCTTTCATGTTAATTAAAAAATTATGTGAAACCTTCAATAAATTGCATTAATCAGCTTTTATTACATCCTACAGAGTAGCGTTTTGCTAAACACATCGTCTTAAAAAGAATTTTTTTGATCTGTTACAGCTTGGTTACAAAAATTTATTAAAGCTGTTCATTGTAGCTGTTCACTGTTCATTAATCTTTTCAGATTTTCGACGAATGACTGTTGAGGTCAAAAATTTAGAGACCAAATTATATTATAAAAAGTTGGTAAAAAAAAATCTAGCAACTACCATGGAGAGTTTTGAACTCAGCTTCATTCGTTACCGAAAAAGTGTGAGCATTAGGGTGAACCCTTCGTTGGCACCAATACTCATGCTGTCTCATTGGAAGCTCGAACTATAATTTTAGTATTGTCTGTAATGCCACTCTAAATCCACTATAGGATTCTATAAACAAGAGCAGAAATACGTGAAATTACTAGGTTTAAAAATTTATTACAAACAGGGAGGGGTTTTCCAATTAAGCTTACCTTGCTTCCGTAAATGCAGTATCTTCTGTCTCCCAACTTTATGTGCGTAGCATGTGTCAAAGGTACATCCGTGTGCGAAAGTCGTATAGCACATTTACCCACTGTAACAGACAAACGTGCTTTTAATAACTGTAAAATTTGCCTCTTGCGAAAAATCGACGAATCAAGTGTGTAGGTCTTTCTAACTTATTCTCACGCAAGAAAAGAACTAAGCTTGTTGCAGAATAAGCATTAGAAAACTGAGAAAACTTACATATTTCTCGACGCTTAGGGTCGTCTGCAGTTTTTTGATCTACCTCGAACTGAAAATTTACATAGCACAACACATTATTATTATTATATACTTCTCCATCTTTAATAGAAATATAGCTCAGCTACCTGGTAAAGATTTCTAGATCACCTCAATTTCACTTAGGAATAAAATTATGCTTACTGCTTCGGGCAGTGGATTAATTTTCTCAACAACGGTTGGAACGTTATCAGACTGGGAATCATTTTTCTTGTCTGAGGGCTGCAGAACACGATCTGAACAGTGAGTAGTGTACTGGAGAAAAAATACTGGTCTGAGAGCATTGATTAACAAGCATCTATTCTGGAGCTCATTTTAAACTGTTTTTTTGAAAAAAACGGTAACTCGGAAGCAGTATAAAGTGTGCTTATCTAAGTCAGTAATCTTGTAAGTTATATTACCAAAATATGTATTGAAAAGAAAAATTTTGTCTTTGTTAAAAAGATAAAAATTTTTTTTTCACTTTTAAGCTTCAAAAATGACTTAACTTACCAGTCTTATCTTCAGCATATACGGTCAAAATCAAGAACAAGAACAGCCGTGCAAGTGTACACATTTTTTGTAAATGACTAATTACGGCCCGTTTTATTCAAATACTATTGAATCGGGTCCTACAGGTGATCTTTGTAAACATATTATTTGATATGTTATTTCAAGACAGATAGCAGCAGTTTGCTGATAACTTTTTGAGCTTCTTTATATAACACTTATGAACTGCTTTATTCAATCAAATGAAGTCTCTAGTTTTGTAGAAGTAATTTAAAAACAAACATATAATAATCTTTTCCATATTCTGTTGAATGCCTCAGACAGAAGTATTTACAATTCTAAAAATGCTGCTCACCAAAAAAGTGATGACAATCTATGCGTAGCGATAAAAAAAGTTGGAAAAAAAAAAAAAAAAGACGATGAATAGAATCAGATATTACATCTGTATTATGAAATGTTAACTTTTAACACTTGAACAACGTTACTACAACACCACTTCTCATCTATTGCTCCCATCTTCCTCCTCCTCCCTGCCAATGATGATCATTTAACACGGTGACCTCTGATCAACAAACCAATAAATTCTAACTTTGTTCATGAAAAAGTTTGAAACCTAATGTTGTAACTTTTTTTTTTCTACTAGAAAAAACTTGATAAACTTTTGTTAGTCTGTTTATTGTATAACCATCAGCAAGCAATCAAAATCCAAAAAAAAACAAAAAAAACCAGGTAGATTTAGAGTTTTAGAATGATTTGCAAAGAAGGACAAATTACTTATCTTTAAAAGACATCTTGGTTGAATTACTGTGATAGAGCAATTCAAAACAGTAGAAAATTTTCACCTTTTAAATGTTTTTTTCACTTTTTATTTTTACTGTTTTATAGGTGCTGTTTAAGAAGATATAAGACAAGCATCTTTAATATGTCCTAAAAAACAATTATCTTGCTTCACAGTAAACCTCTAAGACAGTTGGCACTGCCAATGTCTAAACAACTGCCTTCTGAAAACTGTTGCTTACAAATTTCGGCTGTTAGCAGTCATTCAAAATTGATAATTTTGTTTTCATAACTTAAAAAAAAAAAAAA